TAGTAAATATAAAGCAATATTTTTAGTGGTTTTTAAATATTATTAAATAAATTAGGAAATTATCCATAGCAACTCTATTAACCTTCAGCCCACTAGCCTCTATCAAGTTTGAATTTAGGCATCTCACAAGAAAAGGTTTGGGCACCCCTTTTTTAGGATGTGTATCATGTGATGAAATTAGACAACATTCTGATTGAATGTGCTAATATTTATCACATATTTCTAGAATACAGTGCAGAAGTTGTTTTTGTAGTCATCGTCCAAACGCCATTGTGCATTGTCTATTTATATCAAACTTCATGCTGTGATGTCTGTGTGGTTGATTATAGTTGTGCTGGTCTTCAGTGACACAAGCTTTTGCGGTTGGTTTGTTTCCGTTATGAGGCTTTCAGGCCTACTAATGTGTGGTTCACACAATGGTGTTGATGCATCTGAAAGAGTTTGTGTGCACTTTAGTGTGTGTGTGTGTGTATGTGTGTGTGTACTCGCTCACACATCCTGGTATTCTTTATCTTGCGTTCCTGCAGTCGTTTAACAGTAAGTAGGTCAAAGTAATCTTGCAGCAGGTGTGGTATGAAAAATAAGTAAAGTAAAATTACAGAAAAATTATGTGTACACTCTAAAAAAAAATCCTTAAATTAGCAGTTTTCTATCTGTTATGATTCATGTTTTAATTTTCCCTGTTTATTTATGCTTTTGAATTGCATTATAAGACCTTGATCTATCTTTCAACAAGATTAAACCTTGAAAAGTTGATTTTATTAACATTTTTAATAGTTTTAAAGTGATGTATTGTCTGCGTTGGTGTTTTAAATTATGGTATAAAAAGCTTGTAATAAACTGGCAGTATATTTTCTGTTATTTTACAGACTTATTCCTCTATTTATTATCCCTCACAATATTATTTTAATCTACTAAAATGTCAATAAAAGTCACTTTTTTTAAACTGTAGAGTTGAATTTTCATCCTTAAAAGTCGTCAGAGCAGAGATCAAGGTCCCATAATGCAATTCAAAACCCTAAATAAACAGAAAACACAAATCATAAAATAAACAGTATATAGAAAATAAATGACAGTTATTATTACTTTTAGGTCTTGTCATGTATAATAGCTGATGCAGCATTTGTTGTATGACATGAACTGTTTTTGTGACATCTTGGTCTGTAATTTAAGCTAAAGTTATTTCAGGTTGTTTACTGTCATGCTTTATACTCTAAACCCCTCAGCCTAAGCTTACAGGGATAATTCACCCAAAAATGTAAATGTACTCACTATTTACTCAATGTTGTATGTTCCTAAACTCTTATTAAATAGTTTATTCTGTTGAACACAAAAGAAGATATTTTGAAGAATGGTGAAAACCTGTAACTATTGTAGAAAAAACAAATATTAGATGTTAATATTAAGTTACAGGTTTGCAAAATTATCCAAATGATCTTCTTTTGTGTTTAACAGAAGAAAGTCAATGTTTGGAACAAATGAAAGGTTAGAATGGGGTACGTGCACACAGACTTTTAATTTCAGTCCAATATATATATATATACATATATATATATATATATATATATATATATATATATATATATATATATATATATATATTTTTTTTTTTTTTTATATATATATATATTTTTATATATATATATATATATATATATATATATGGAATTAGTTTCTTAATAAATATTTGTAAAATTAAATTTGTTTATAAAACAAACCCCTATTTTTTTTTTCATACTGGTTCAAAACAGGCTATAAACACACCCAGATGTGTTAAATAAATTATATTAAATAGCATTTCATTCTATTAATTGATAATCACAAGATTATCATTAAGATTAACAGAAGTATGTTCAATTTTGAATTCATATTATGAAATATATTGTTTCCACAAAATTAGTATGCATACAAAAAATACCGTTAAGTAGGCAGAACACTAGCGTTCCTTCACTTTCTCCAAACATGGCATGTAAAACACTCTTGAGTGGCTTAAAATATCAGTAGTAGTTTGTTTGGCTGGAGTTGGCATGTTTATGGAAGCATTTGTCAACTCGATGATGTTATTAGGTAATATGCTCATGTTCTTCCTTCCCATGAACTTCCAACTCCCCTAAATCACATGCTATAATATTTGTTTTACCTTTTTTGGTGGCACGAAGACATTTGCTGTAATCCTCGCGCAAGTAAACTTTAGATGTCTTGGATTTAAATGAGCAGTTTTGTTTAATGTATTATGACTGTTGTGGCACAACTCGGCAAGAGGACTTAAGACTTAATTAGGACTGCACAATATATAATTTCAGCATCGTTATTACAATGTGATCATTCGCAATAGTCACATTGCAGTAAATGTAATGTTGATTTTGCTTCAAAATTTGTCAGTTTCATATGTTTTTGAGGCCTGTGATTGTATAATGATTTTAAAAGCATAATTTGGGAGTCACGGTGGCTCAGTGGTTAGCACTGTCGCCTCATAGCAAGAAGGTCGCTGGTTCAAGTCCCGGCTGGGCCAGTTGGCATTTCTGTGTGGAGTTTGCATGTTCTCACCCTGTTTGTGTGGGTTTCCTCCAGGTTCTCTTGTGTCCCCCATAAACATGCACTATAGGTGAATTGAATAAACTAAATTGGCTGTAGTGTATGTGTGTGAATGAGTGTGTATGTATGTTCCCCATTCTGCTCTGGCGACCCCTGATGAACATTGGGATTTCCTTAAATTTTTAAGGAAAATGAATGAATGCATGAATGAATAACTATTAATATCATTGGATTATGCTTATTTTTATTATTCAATTACTCTACCTAAATACCGTCTCACAAAACAGTAAAACTCTGTTTATTTAAATTGCATCTTTTTTTAAAATATTTTTTTGTTTTTATAGATTGTTTATAAGATTTTATGGAGATGCACTCCCACTGCACAATCATCCCAATCCATCTAGCATTATAAAATCTTTCCGAATAGAGATATTAAGGGTGCTTTTACAACTAGATGTTTGTTTCAGAACCAGGCACGTTTGCTTGCTTAGTTTGGTTCGTTTGGCATATGTTAATCCAACAGTCGCGCTCAGATCCACGCCAAAACAATCAGTTCGAGCCCGAATAAAGTGATCTCTGCTCGGTTGAAACGAACTCTGGAGCAGATCGATTGTAGCAAGAAAGCAATACGATCCAACTAACTAACGAACTAAGCTATATCACAGTGTATTGTGGTTGTGTAGTAGCCATATATATGGCTATATGAAGAAAAAGGTACGAGTAGAGCGGAATGTCATCATTCCTACTGGTAAATGGGAAAAGCATGCTGAAATATTAATGAAAGCAGTTTACCCATTAGGAAAATTGACTGAAACTACCATCTGATATTTTTTCTTCTTCCATATTTTAGTGTTATAATATTTTGTATTAGGCCTATTATTTTGTTCATTTTCCACTGGCACCTCGAAAGAAAGATCAACATTGATATGCTAAATGATCTGACTGCAGACTCACTTTATCTGTTATTTCTCTATATAGTGTAAGCCTATATAATTCTAGCCAACGTTATTTTTAAGATCAAAACTAATGAAAACAAAGTCATTAAATGTCTTATTCTCATTTTAAAATAACTAAATGTTACAAAAAAAGTATGTGCAATACATCAATTGATTGAGTCAGTCAATTAAGTCGATTTGTACAACCTTTGACAACTGAAATGAAGTCTGACCTCTCTGATTTATATTTTGATGATGGTTGTGAGCGACACCCTTCAAAATGAACGCACACCTTTTCGCTTATGTCTTCTTGCTCATCATCAAATTAAAATAACAAAGTATGACAGCTTATGCCTTGTTCAGACTGCGTGATTTTAGCCCTGATTTTGGCTCGCCGACAGGTTTTGAGAAATCGCCGACAAATGCCTGAAATCACAGGCAAATCGCTGCTCATGCACGTGAGTGACAATCACACAGTATGAACTATCAACGACGCGATCTGAGAGAATCGCCGATGAGTCGCCGATGCCTGTGAGATATTTGGCATGCTAAATATCTGGAGCTGTCGGCGATTCAAATCATACCGTATGAACTGAGTTTTGACTGAAAATAACATCAGCCATCGCCTACAGCCAATGAGAGAGCAGCTTTCACTTGTGTGTGCGTGTGTGTATACCTGCTGCAGGCCAGCGGAAGGCTGGGGGAGAAGTTAAAAGCGCTCTTTTTCGGTTTATTTGGACCTACGAAATGGAGGTAAAACTAGTTGGGGTTTGACAGGACTCAGGAGCAACTGTGTCTTTTTGACGTTTCATACAGAAAGAAATTAGCCTAGTTTATTATCAACGTTGAGAAGAAATGGCTAACTCCCTTTAAACCCAGGTGAGCAAACATGTATAAGTTCTACCCCATTAAAGGCTTCTTTCTCATTATGTAGTTAATAACAAAAGATATACCACGTGTTTTGGGCTGTGAGACGTAGTTTGGACCAAGTTGTCGGCGATTCTTCCTATAGTAAAGTCATGCAATGTGAATGTCCCTGTCGCCGATCCATCTTGCAGTGTAAACAAAGCAGTGACGAAATGCTAGCCCAGATAGTCATGCAGTGTAAAACATCTGTGACACGACTACTTTGAAAATCATGCAGTCTGAACTCGGCATTAGCGGAATCCCTGGGATTTTGAATAATAAATCAACCTCTGACCAATGTGAGGAGTTTATTCACAGTTGACTTGTTATTTTGGCCGATTTAGAAACTTTGCCATGTAAAAGTGAACCACACCAAGAACAAAAGTAAACATTGTAACAATTTTAATCGCTGTTTTGGAACACAACAATTAATCTACAGGAGTGAGAGCACCCTAAGACATCTGGTGAAATTGTATTTGTATAGAAATTTAAATTGCAGAATTAAGAAATATCGCATTGTTACATTTATTCCAATATTGTGCAGCTCTAGTATAAATGTGTTTATTTAAGCAACTGTGTTTTACCTCATTTGTAACGGTCTTTTTTTTTTTTTTTTATTGATAGGTGAGCTCTCTCTGACGAAGGTCTCGCCTGCTGTGCTCGATTTCAACAGCTCGAAGAAATGCGAAGACAAGAAGAGCAATGTTCAGAGCAGCATCACCTTTCAATGCGGCAAAACAATGGTGAGCTTTCCTTCACAGCGGGCTCTGTTAGTCAGAGGGGTTGTGAACAGACTGTGACATTTGCAAGGCTGTTTATTTCCTTCCGTCTCTGTAAAAAAAAAAAAAGACAGATGGAAGAACGATATAACGATAGGGTAATGTGGAAGTAGGTGTGGCTGAAGTTATTTCTAATTTTACTCAGATTCGTATTTGAGAGAGATCCGTTTTCTCTGCTCTGTTACTCTCAGTAGAATTGTGCAGTTTTATTTACAGTTGAAGTCAGTATTATTAGCTCTCCTGTATATTTTTCCCCCCAAATTCTGTTTAGCGGAAAGAGTATTTTTTTTAACACATTTCTAAACAATAGTTTTAAAAACTCAATTCTAATAACTGATTTATTTTATCTTTGCCATGATGACAGTACATAAGACAGCAGGGAAAATAAGTATTGAACATAGTATTGTATTGAAGTTTTTTTTGCTGGGAATAATATTTCTAAAGGAGCTGTTGACATGGAATTACACCCAAACATAAAACTAAAACAAAACAACAACTAAAAAAATCTGAAAAATTTGTTATGTTTAATAACAATGGAATGACACAAGGTGAAAGTACTGGGTCTCACTTTATGTTAAGTGGCCTTAACTAATATGTACTTACATAGGAACTAATAGTTTGTTACAATGTACTTATTGTGTAAATACATGTATTTACTGTGTACTTATGCTTGATTAAATGCACATATGTAATTACATCTGTACTGAACTTTTGTAATAACATTTGTAAATACACTGTTGACCATCCCTAACACCTTAACCCACCCTTAAACCTAGCCATGCCACCAAACCTGTCCATAACCCAACCTCTATTCCAATTTAAAAGCACCACAAGTGTTCTAAAATACATCATAAACACAGTAAGTACATTGTATTTATTTTTTTGATGTAAATGCATAGTAGTTAGGGACACTTAATATAAAGTGGGACCGTACTGGGTCTCACTTTATGTTAAGTGGCCTTAACTAATATGTACTTACATAGGAACTAATAGTTTGTTACAATGTACTTATTGTGTAAATACATGTATTTACTGTGTACTTATGCTTGATTAAATGCACATATGTAATTACATCTGTACTGAACTTTTGTAATAACATTTGTAAATACACTGTTGACCATCCCTAACACCTTAACCCACCCTTAAACCTAGCCATGCCACCAAACCTGTCCATAACCCAACCTCTATTCCAATTTAAAAGCACCACAAGTGTTCTAAAATACATCATAAACACAGTAAGTACATTGTATTTATTTTTTTGATGTAAATGCATAGTAGTTAGGGACACTTAATATAAAGTGGGACCTAGTACGGAAATGTATTTAATACTTTATATAAAAGTTTTTTTGAAGATGGCAGCTTAAAGATGCCTCTCATATGGAGAATGAAGTCGCATAAGTTGCTCAGGTGATTTCAGTTAATAGATTTCAGTGTAAACAGATTTCAGTGTAAGCATCTTGATGGTTCTGTGGGTCTCGTCTATCAAATATGATCTTTAATTTGTATTTTCTATTGAATTTATGTCAGGTGATTGGCTAGGCAATTCTACAGCTTGATTTTCTTTCTCTAAAAGCACTTCATTTGTAAACTAATTAGATTTGTTTTCTTTTCATAAATGGATTTCTTTGGTTGCTTTCAACATCCTGGGTAAATTTCAAGTCAACTGCCCGTTTAGAAATATGTTTTCTGAGAAATATGGTGACATGTTTAATACTTATTTTCCCCACTAATATTGTTCAGGATGCTAGTATTCTGCTTGAAGTGACATATAAAAGCTTAGTTTAGTTAATTTAGGCAGATTAGGTTAATTAGGCAAGTCATTGTATAATAAAGGTTTGTTCTGTAGACAATTAAAAAAATATATAGCTTAAATGGGGCTAATAATTTTGACCTTAATGTTTTTTTTTATTAAAATGGCTTTTATTTTAGCTGAAATAAAACAAATAAGACTTTCTACAGAAGAAAAAATATTATAGAAAATACTGTGGAAAAAAAGTCTTGCTTTGTTAAAAATCATTTGGGAAATATTTAAAAAAGAAATAAAATTAACAAGAGCATTTTTACTATCTGAATGCTGACTTTTTTTTCTTGTTTTCCACAAAAGGGCACGCCTGAGTTTGTCACCGTCTCCGAGTGTGTGCATTACTTTGAGTGGAGGACGTATGTCGCCTGCAGACGTGATAAATTTAAACCGCATAAAGAGGTGGGTAAAGGTGACGAGACTGACGTGATGGCATTTGACAGTCAGAGCATGAATGTGGGGGAAGTTGTGAATGTTGAAGTGTCTGCTGAGTGGGAAACAATTAATTAAACTAATGCTTTATCGAAGGGGTGACACGGTGGCTCAGTGGTTAGCACTGTCACCTTACAGCAAGAAAGTTGCTGGTTGAATTGAAAAGGTGAATTGACAAAACTAAATTGGCTGAAGTGTATGAGTGTGTATGTGAGAGTGTATGGGTGTTTCCCAGTACTGGATTGCGGCTGGAAGGGCATTCGCTGCGTAAAACATATGCTGGATAAGTTGGCGGTTCATTCCACTGTGATTTCCCTGATGAATAAAGAGGGACTAAGCCGAAGGAAAAGGAATGAATGAACAATGCTTGATCAAATCATTTTGTTTGTGTGAACATGAAAATAAGCTTATTTTGGGGAATGTGGCATATACTGTATACAGCATGAAATTGTTAAAAGTACATACACGTTAATACAAGTTGGTTACCACAGATGTTTAATTTTAATTTATTTACATTTTTTAAGTAAGTTGACGCTGACCATAAACTACATCATGCTGAAATGTAATTGTTGAGAGAGAAAAAAAGCCCATTAGAATATAAGATTTAGTATAATATTGTTACATTTAACTCTGAGATAATTTAATATAGAAAGTTTTTTCACACAAAAAATCAACATGTATTTTAGTTCCACTCCCTCGAAATGTAGTTTTTTTTTTTACATGAAACAGTATTCAGAACAGGAATATAGAACTGAAACAGGAACATTAAGCGTAAACCTCAAGCTTGAGCGAAACTAAACCTAGTGTGAAATTCACTGCACTCTCGTGTTCATAATGTTCAACACAAATCTAAATTTGTTAATCTTTACACTTTGAGTTTTCAGCATATTTACATATAATAAAAAAATGTGAGTTTATTCAAGAAAATACAGTGTAGCGTAAAGCTGCACTATGCCAAATAAACACAGTTGTTATTGTTTTTTGGTCTCACTTTATTTTAGGGTGCAATCCTTGCTATTAACAAACTATTTAATAAGACTTTTAGCTCAATAAACTGCTCATTTGCTGTTTATTAATAGCTATTAAGGTAGTAGTTGGGTATGAATTGGGTAGGATTAAGGATGTAGTATAATGTATTGGAGAATATGCACTGAATACATACTAATAAACAGCAAATATCTTAATAATATGCAGTTAATATTGGGAATTGGTATACAGTGGTCCCTCGTTAATTGTGGCAGTTACATTCTAAAAATAACCCAAAATCCACAAAGTAGTCACCTTTATTACTTTATTATTATGGCTGTTTTAAGGCTGTAAAATCCATTACTACACGCTTTATATAGTTTTCTTAGACAGGCATTAACATTCACACTTTTCACTCGTTTAAGCACTTAGGCTATTTTCCTCATTCTTTATGTAATGAACCAAAGATTAATTTATTCCATTATGGCACCCTACAGCCGCATTAGCGTTAACTTCTACCTTTCATTAACTTGTCCAGAAATTTAACTTTTTGTGTAATGGTTAGCATCTTCCTTTGCCTTTTGAGTGCCACCGCAGGTGTCTTTGATGGAAAGTTTTGTCGACTTTATGGGAGAAAATGTACAGTACAGCCCTTCAGAGTCACACTGCTAGTGACTGAAGATTGATGTAAATTTGGCATGTTGAACGCATTTGGTACTGTAAAGGAGACATGGAAGAGATTGATTGACCATGGGCTACAGCCAATCAGGACGCAGAACGCAATGTGCTGTAAAAAAAAGCTGCGAAAGGTGAACCGCGTTATAGCAAGGAGCCACTGTACTTAAACTTAAGTGTTGCCATTTAATCTTTTTGTCTCCTTTACAAAAGCTTAACTTGATTTATTGCTGCATAGAATTTTACACTAATATTTTGAATGAATGATTCAGTGACGTACATTTTAAGCAGTCACAATTTAATTTATAACCTTCATGTCAAGTTACATTAAAAAGTTGACTTTATTTTGATAGCCAACCATAGACGTCAGAATTACCTCTTATTTATGATCTCTAATCTAGTATTTCTGTTATAATTTCAATGTTGTAAATCAGAAATAATAATACTGTGCAGTTGAAAAAAAAATAAAGGGCTAAGCTGTTTTATAACCAGTATACTGTACGTGAAAACTGCTCTCTCCGATTCCAAATAACACAGATCTGAATGTCTCTAAGATTGTGTTTGATGGATATGATTACATATATGTTTAAAGTGAGATCACACTCTTGTATTATCCTAATCCAAGCACCAAAATGTAAAAAAAATAATATAATATTAATTTTAAAAGATATTCAGCCTATATCTTATATAAATAAGATACCTGATTCATATTAGAGTAAACCGAAAAAATGGCAGTGACCTACAGTAAATACAAAAATTAAAATTTAACTTTGAGTTTCTTTTGTTTTGTTGAACACAAAAGAAGACATTTTGAAGAAAACTGGTAACCATTAACTTCTATAGTAGGAAATAAATATTATACCATGTAGTTGTGTTTAAATCTATACATTCAATCATTTATTTTTCTTCGGATTAGTCTCTATTTCAGAGGTCACCACAGCGAAATGAACCGCCAACTATTTCAGCAGATGTTTTTACAGAGGGGATGCCCTTCCAGCTGCAACACAGTATTGGGAAACATCCAAACAAACTCATTCACATACACTCCTACACTACGGCCAATTTATTTAATTCAGTTCACCTATAGCACATGTTTTTGGACTGTGGGGGAAACCATCGCACCCGAAGGTAACCCACACGAACACGGGGAGAGCATGCAAATTATACACAGAAAATGTCAACTGACCAAGCCAGGACTTGAACCAGCGACCTTCTTGCTGTAAGGCTATAGTGTTAACTACTGAGCCACCGTGCCACCACTATATATCTATAACTTCAAAAATACACTTTTTATTGATTCATTTTCGTTTCGGCTTTGTCCTTTTATTAATTAGGGGTCACCACAGCGGAATGAACCACCAACTTACTCAGCATATGTTTTATGCAGCGGATTCCCTTCCAGCCACAACTCAAAACTGGGAAACACCCACACACTCTTGCAATTACACACATACACTACGGCCAATTTAGCTTATTCAAGTGGTCTATACCGCATGTATTTGAACTGTGGGGGAAACCGGAGCACCCGGAGGAAACCCACGCCAACAGGGGAAGAACATGCAAACTTCACACAGAAATGCCTACTGACCCAGCTTGAACCAGCAACCTTCTTGCTGTGAGGCAAACCCCTAAACTTTTTATTGTTTGCTTTATTTTGCACTTATTTAAGAGTCTTTGTGTGTTCCTGTGTTGATATGTATGTATGAAGCCTAAGCTCTTGTGTGTTTGTGCACACTTGGCTCATTCTGATTCTTATTCTAATATCACATTGCATTTTTGCTTGTCTTTGCACAGGTCCCCTGCTATGTCTTTGACTCAGATGGAAAGAAGCATGACCTCAATCCGCTGATAAAACTCTCAGATGGCTACTTAGTTGACGACCCGGATGACGAGATAGATTTCTACATTAATATATGCAGAAGTCTAAGTGAGTTTTTGTGAAGTGCTGCAGGGGTGTGATCTTAAGAGTTTGCCGCCCAGTCAACAAACATTTTAGTTACATACTGTAGCTGCTTTATCAACAAAAAAACATGCAAACCATTGGAGCTGGTTCTTATTTAAATAACCAAAATATCCAATAGTGCTCTGCATATAACTTTGATAATTTCTCTCTGTCCAGATCGTGCTGGAAGCACCTGTACTGAAGGATCTGCCGCCTGTCTCACTCACACCTCTGGTAAAGGCTCATTTGACATGGGTCAACCTGTTCACCAGCTCGAACTGCTCTCTAATGACAAGTATGTACCAATACTATAAGTTCCAATTTTTGTTTTAATAGTTTTCCACAATGCAGTGAGCTTATACAGTGCATCTGGAAAGTATTCATAGCGCTTCATTTTTGCACATTTTTCTATGTTACAGCCTTTTTCCTGTAGGAAAAATGATTAAGTATGATGATTAAATTCATTTATTTCCTCAAAATTCTACAACATAATACCCCACAATGAAAACGTGATTTTTTTTTTTTTTTTTATTGTTACAAATTTATTAGAAATAAAAAAACCTGAAAAGTCACATGTATCACAGCCTTTGCTCAATACTTTGTTGATGCTCCTTTGGCAGGAATTACAGCGTCAAGTCTTTTTGAATATGATGCTACAAGCTTGGCACACCTGTCTTTGGGGATTTTTGCCCATTCCTCTTTGGAGTAACTCTCAATCTCCATCAGATTGGATTGGAAGCAACAGTATACAGCCATTTTCAGATCTCTGCAGAGATGTTCAATAGGACTTAGGTCTGGGCTCTGACTGGGCCACTCAAGGACATTCCCCAAGTTGTTGTGAAGTTACTCCACTGATATTTTGGCAGTGTGTTTTGGGTCATTGTCCTGCTGGAAGACGAACCGTCGCCCAAGTCTGAGGTCTAGAGCACTCTGAAGCAGGTTTTCATTCGGGATGTCTCTGTACATCACTGCATTCATCTTTTCCTTTATCTTGACTAGTCTTCCAGTTCCTGCTGCTGAAAAACATCCCCACAGCATGCTGCTGCCACCACCATGCTTTAATGTAGAGGTGGTATTAGCCTGGTGATGAGCTGTGCCTGGTTTTCTCCAAATGTAACGCCTGGTATTTACTCCAAAGAGTTCAATTTTAGTCTCATCAGACCAGAGAATTTTGTTTCTTATGATCTGAGAGTCCTTCAGTCCTTTTGGTAAATTCCAGACGGCTTCTGTCTGGCCACTCTACCATACAGGCCTGATTGGTTGATTGCAGCACAGATGGTTGTCCTACTGTAAGGTTTTCCTCTCTCCACAGAAGAACGCTGGAGCTCAGACAGAGTGAACGTCGGGTTACTAATCACCTCCCTGACTAAGGCCCTTCTCCCCCGATCACTCAGTTTAGATGGCCGGCCAGCTCTAGGAAAAGTCCTGGTGGTTCCAAACATCTTCCTTTTCCGGATGATGGAGGCCACTGAGCTCATCGGAACTTTCAGAGCAACAGAAATTTTTCTGTAACCTTCCCCAGCCTCAATTGTTAAAAACAGATTGGAAAAACTGATACATTTTTACATTTAAAATCTTAAATTTAAATCGTGATCAATAACACTGACATTTTATCAATGTTTTTGAAACCGCATATGAACTTTACCAGTATTAACTTCAAATAATTTTATTAAAGTTCTTTAAACATGACTTCTTAACACGGTCAACGTTTTTGAAAGTTGCTCTGACAAATATTAAGTGTAATTGAAATGTTAGGTACAGTATGGACTTAAGGACTTAATGGTGCTTTAAAAAGTCATTGAAAGACCTAGAATCTGCTGTTCATGAAAGTGTGTGAACCCTGCACTTTACTGACCTTTTACATCCTTAGTGTTTTCACATACCGTGTCTTTTGCGCCTAAGTTTGTTTCCAATGGAGGGAAAACAGGTAGTGCCACACACGCAGTAAAGACGTGCCTAGTGGGAAAGCATCTCAACCTTTCAGAATTCTGCGAGTCATATGACTAGAACCAACCAATCAGCTTCACACTTTGTATTATTAACATTTCATTAATAACGTTAGACTAACTACCTCAGACAAGCACACCACTCCCAGCAATTGTATTGCTTATTAAGTCCCTCCATAAATTGAACTTTTATCAGAGGTACAGCAAGGGTTTGTCATACTCTGAGAGAATGGTTGTTGATTCATATTCTATATGCCTTTAGACACTATGTGAATGGCCTCCTAACGGGATAGTTTACTCAAAAAATTACTCACTATTTCCTGGGTTAAATAAGTTAACTAGGCAAGTTAAGGTAATTAGGCAGATCATTGTATAATGATGGTTTGCTATTATCTCAAGTGGTTTTAAACCTTTAAGTGTTTTTTTTTTTTGTGATGAACAAAATACCATGATGAACTACTGCCTTAAGCAGCTATAAATACCAGACGTTCTCTTTTTCAGACTAAGACTTCGATACGAGGGAGTCAAAGAAAGCCCAGACTTCTGTGATGGCCACAGTCCAGCAGTGACCATTACATTTATTTGTCCCTCCACAAGGCAGACGGTAAGAAGTTGCCTAGTGTTTCCTCTGTTATATCTACAGTACTCGGCGTCCTCATAGTTTTCTTTTTATGGCTTTTCAGGGAAGTAACCCTAAGATGATCAGCAGCACGAACTGTCGATATGAGATTGAGTGGGTGACGGAGTACGCCTGCCATAGAGATTACCTGGAGAGTCACGACTGCAAACTGACCAGCACTCAGCATGACATCTCCATCGACCTCACGCACCTGACGCACGGCTGTACGAAACTTTACAATGAGCTGATTTAAAAACTTTTATTTCTATGAAAATAATGTGAAAATAATGATTGATTTAGTTGATTTTTGACTGAATTGCAGATATCATTGTGTCACCTTATAGTGGCACTATTAAGTGTATATATATTTTCCTGTATCTGCGGTTACACTCTGTAAACAGCGGTGAATTCGGTGAACTGATGATCTTCACGGCCAATCACAGTCATTTCTGTTGATGGCAAATCAGCACTGTTTAAGAACGTGCTCAACAGCAAATGCTAGGGGGAAATGGACATTTTTTTAAAACTTCAGTACTGATTGCAACCGAATTCCAGTGTTGTGACAATCCTTATATATATATATATATATATATATATATATATATATATATGTATGTATATATATATATATATATATATATATATATTAGGATTGTTTGAATTATTTATTCATTTAAAACAAAACAAACAATGTAAAATGTACAAATGTTTCATATAAAACTTAAATTGGTGTTTAAGTCATTTAAATGTTGACTAGTTTAAGTGCTAAAATTGTTGCAAGTTAAATAAAAATTGTAGTTAAGATATACATATATAATTGTATGTGTTTATATTTAGACTGTCAACTGACAATTTTTATAGAATCTAATGACTTACACAATGTGGCAATTTATTAATTTAGTGAAAAAAAATTCATAGGAGGGCAAATAATTTAGATTTAACTGTAAATGCATGTTGTTTTGTAAAAAAAAATTGAAGCAGCAGTGGATTTGATTTGGTGTTTAAATAATTGGCATACTAAATATCATTGTGCATCATATCATCATATATCATGGTGTCATCTTATTGTGGCACTATTAAGAATATTTTTTGTATTAAAAAAATAATAATAATAATAATATAAATACATAAATATTATATATAAAACTTAAACATAAAAATTTAAGTACTAAAATGGCTATAAGTTAAACGAAAATAACAGTTAAGGTTAACATATATAAATATAAGTATTTATATTAGGACTTATCAGCTCATTTAAAAAAAAATCAAATTAATTGCACAAGGTGGCAATTAATTAATTTAGTAGGCGTTAGCCCATTTTATTTAGTTCATAGCTAAATTAACTAATTAAAGTATTAAATGCTAAATTAAATAAATAAAATGGATGGCGTGAATGATAGCTTTAATTTATATACCAGATATGGCATATAAAAATGAATTAAACCAGCTAAAAATTAAACTGAAGAAGGAAAATGTAAAATATAATCTTACTCGAAATATTAATATGTTACAAAGTTTCGTATAATAATAAAGTTCGATGAAAAACTTCAATCTAAAACTTTACGCTTTTTAGATTTTAATTCAATCTTGGCAGCTATCTGAATATTAAATACTAAAACTATGAAAACATTTATTAAATGAATGTTGATGTTGCCAGAACATACAGTTTAAAGAGTACCTATCATGCAAAATTCACTTTTTAGGGGTTTAAACATCGTTGTGTCCCAACAGTGTGTGAATATAGCCACCCTCTAATGGTAAAAATGTATTCATTTTATTTTTTATAATCACACTGGATAAAAACAGTCTGCAGAAACACTTTGATTGACATTTCCCATTCTGCCCATAAGTGATGATCTCTCCCTCTTAGCATTTGACATTAGTCTTGTTTTTAAATCTGCCACTATGCTGACACATAGGCTTTTGTAGCTCCGCCCTATTATGAAAAAGAGCAAAATCTCATTTGAATTTAAAGTGACATTCACCAAAATGGCACAATTAGGATCAAAGCCTAACGGGGCAGTTTTAAAGAGTTATAAAACATTATTTGTGAGGTACTTTGAGCTGAAACTGCACATACACACTCTAGAGACATCAGAGACCTAATTTACATAGGTCCCTTTTAACATAAACAAAAAGCGCAGTTGTGGTTCATCAAGTATCCTGCTTTACCTTTCTTCCTATTTCTTTTATTCTAGCCACAGATACACCATACATGGCTGAGGCCAAAAATGGCAAGGACACCTACTTTTTCTATCTGAACGTGTGTGGAGGGACCAATGCTGGACAGTGTTTTGACGACAAAGGATACATCTCTGCCTGCCAATTCAAAGAGAATGGCGATGTAAAGAAGATTGCTGGAAGATACCAGAACCAAACCCTGAGGTTCACTTCATGTGATTCTGATATGCATAAACCTTAAATGTGGCTCAAAACCAACTGGTTATGAACATTATCTTTTTTTCTTTTTTGTTTAAATCTTTAGATATTCAGATGGTGATCTCACATTAATCTACCCAGACGGCAGCAGATGCAGCACTGGATTCCAGCGCATGACTATTATTAACTTTGAGTGCAATGCAACTGCTGGTGAGTGATAGTATTGACAGTGACAGCTATTCCGAATCTGATAACTTTTAGCAATATTGTATATATAATCTTTTAAAAAGACACTACTTCCATTCCATGTGTTTGAGAGATAAAAATAATTAAACTGGATCAGATTATGGAAATAAAAATGGAGCTGTACACTGAAAAGTCTTTAAAATTTACTGTAGCAAAACAGAAACTTTGAATTATCTGTTAAAGGGCCATGAAACCCCCTCATTTCAGCAGGGTGTTTTCACACCTCAACTTTGGAAAAAGTCAGAAAAGTGGGCGTGTCCAGCTCTGTTTAGGGGGGAGTGTCGGAGGAAGAAATGAGGCTTGGTGTGGGAGTGTCTATTTGGGCGCTCTGAATTTCAGATTCAAAACACACAACCACAGCGGACAATGTGACTGTGTTTACATGGACATCTGTTGTCGAATTATTTGCCAAATTATTAAATGGTGGACTTTAACTGCAGTTTGGCTCTTTCATTCAGGAAATTCATTCATGTCCCTCCCGACAAACGAGATATTTGATTCGAGGATCTGCTCTAAGCGTGTATTTTTCATGCAATGTTTGATACCGCACGGCGAATGAGAGAAAAAAAAACTCAGCATTTCCCGGAAACTTAGATGCACATGGCAGGTAGCGTCAGAAAGCCGCGTGTGTTATTTCGGTCACAAAATCCAACACGAGGTTATAGTTTGGTTGTAACTGTTAGTGCTAACTTGTTTACACTGGTGCAATAGTTTGTTTGATACGAATAAAATACGAACTGAATAAACAAAGAGCACTGGTCGCTTACTTACCAAATCTGTAGAGACAGGACAATCACCAGCAACTAGAGCCGCGTCTTTATTAAGAGAAGACTACAAGCGAATCCGGGATCTCAGCGTTTGCAGATGAGAACAGCTCTCAGGTAAACAATAATCCTCCTTAGACACGTAAGTTAAGTTATTGTTGTCGCGCGTCGCATACACTGTTAATCCACACGTGACGCGCTCTCACAGAGAGAAAATGAAAATGAAACTTAACTGCAGCAAACGATAAAAGCAACACTTCACGCTTGTTTTGCCAATACAACGTGGCGACTCTGCCGTCTACACTCTGACAGCAATGAATATTAATGAAGTTGCACAATAGAGCGCGCTCATATACGACTGTCAACAGCTCAAAAAATGTGTTTTGGTGTTTCGTGACCCTTTAATAACGTCGAAATTTCACAATTTTACGGTAAACTACTGTATTTCATTAATGTACTGTGTTAATGCACCAGTGTTTTGAAGTACTCTACAAATTGCATGTTTTGATTCATTAATGATTAATTAAGTCATTAATGAACCAATGCTCATCACAAACAGTTTATCCACAAGCATTGGAAATACATTCCAATGCAATGTCTGCAGTTTCCATTCAGCATTCTATTTATTCAATATCTCAAAATAACCAAAGTGTAGCTATTGTGACAGTCCTACCAACAACACATTATAGCTACTCTCATGTTACATGTTTGTGGGTATTTTAAGAGTATATCTAGCTGTTTCCATCCAGCATGTTTTTTTTTATGTAGTAGGCCAAAATATAAATGCAAACGTAGCTTAATAATGTTAAATATGTCATACTTGTGGAGTCAGCTGCTGATGAGACTGCTGTTTTTACCGTTTCAGTTTGAGGAACTTTAAATGGATAAAAAAACATAAGTGGGGAACTGCAAAAGCGTGACCTAGACGTCACCTTGTTTCATGTCAGAATTGTTGTTTTTTTCTGTCTGTTTGGCTCACTGCACACTTGTGGTTTTCAGGGAACGGTCAGCCGGTTTTTACAGGAGAGTCTGACTGCACGTATTACTTTGACTGGCAGACGTCGTACGCATGTGTGGAGAAGGAAGACCTGCTGTGTCGAGTCACAGACCACAAGAAGAGATATGATTTATCTCCTCTTACACGATTCCCAGGTAGAGATGAGCAAGATTACTCACTAATTGGAACGTTTTTTTATTTTTTATTTTTTTACTACAGTTATTTTAGTGTTTAAATAACTCACAACAAATCACAATTAAATAAACACAGTTAATACAGTATTTTACATATTTTAATATTTAACAATACAAACATTCATTTTGAAAAATATTTTTTTTATTGGCTCTCTGTTTGAATATATTTGCAAGTGGAAAATTGCTATTGATTACACAAAGTTCATGGGACTTGAAATTTAAATATTTTGTAGCATTATAAATGTCCCTATCCATCCATCCATCCATTCATCCATCCATCTTTAATTATTTTATTAGTTGATGTTGGAATGGTAAACACTTTGGATATTAGAAAACAAGGAACTTAGTAAAAAAAAAAACACTTTAGAAATATGTTGATTTGATTTCATGTTAGTGATATGGTTATTTAATGTAAAAAAAAAGCATTATTATAAAGTAAAATAAGTATTCATAAAATGAAAAACAGCATTACAAAGACTTCAAACTATTTTGAGAAAAACTGACTTAATGTTGATAGAAAAACTGATTTGCAAGCTCAAAGGGTTATAGCATGAGCAGTTTGAAATTTAATATTTGCAATATCTAAACAACATAAAGAAAAGCTCTTCATGTGACTAATAGTAGAGATGAGCAAGATTACTCACTTTTTAATTTGCAGTTATTAAACTGCAATATTACAGTTATTTTAGTGAATTTTTTGAGTTATTTAAACAGTAAATAAACAACAACTATTTTTTCCCAATATTGTTTGTATTGTAAAGTATGTCAAATAATAATTGTGTTTATTTAGTTTAATATGTGTACTGTGTTTGTGGAAAATTGCTGTTAATGACAAAAACATGACATATTTAAAAATATGAAGTTATTCAAAAATTGTGTAGCATTTCAAATGTATTTACTGTCACTTTTAGTCTATTTATGATGTATTTTTTTTTACCATTTTATTTTATTTTATTTTATTTTTTAATTGAGCATCCATCCATCCATGTCTGTCTGTCTGTCTGTCTGTCTGTAAATGTTGGGATTGTAAACACTTGAGTACTAAAAAAACTTGAGGAATTGAATAATAAACACTCTAAAAATCTATAGATGTTATTTAATGTTAAAAAACGTTATTGTAAAGTAAAATAAAAGTGTTTATTAAACAAAAAAACACACCATTACAAAATACTTTTCAATACTTTTAAATATTTTGTGAAAAACAGACTTACATTTGTTACAAAAAATATGAATAAAAATGCTGATAGTAGAAAAACTGATTTGCAAGCTGAATTAAAGGTTAAAGCATACACAATTTGATTTGATTCACCATATTAAATGATGTAATATTTGCAATATCTAAACAATACCTTGAAAAGATCCTCATATGACTAATAGTAAATGTTGTTGTTTTTTTTCCTCAGAATCGGAGGGATCTCAGAATTGGGTGGCGGTGAACGCAAAAGCAGCAGAGTCTGATAAAAAGCGCATTTATATGAATGTCTGTCATAAAATCATCCAGGATGGGGTGGCCAGTTCTTGCCCTGAGGACTCTGCAATATGTGCCATAGGTCAGTTCGCAATAGTCTCCTAAATACATAGAAATATACCAAATCTTGTTTTTTCAAGATGAAATGAAGATTGTGGGGGGGAATAAAGATAATTGACAACCATAGACTTCCATGAACACGGTAGGGTCTATTCCCAGATGTCTTTATTAAACCTCATAAAATTTTTTTTTTTTTTACTGATGTATTTCTTACATCAGGAGCTTTTGTTAGGGGTTTTAATTCATATAGCCACAGTTATATCACCCTGCAGCTCGAGACTGGTTACTCACGGAAGCTAAGCAGGGCTAAGCCTGGTCAGTACCTGGCTGGGAGATCACATGGGAAAACTAGGTTGCTGTTTGAAGTGGTGTTAGTAAGGCCAGGAGGGGGCGCTCAACCTGTGTTGTGTGTGAGTCCTAATGTCCTGGTAAAGTAAAGGAGACACCATACTGTCAGTTTCGGATGAGATGTTAAATCCTGACTCTCTGTTGTCACTAAAAAAACTCATGGCACTTCTCGTAAAGAGTAGGGGTGTAACCCCGGTGTCCTGGCCAAATTCCCTCCATCGACCTTCACAGGCCTCTCAATTATCCCCATCCACTCAATTGGCTTTAGAACTGTCTCTCCACTCCTCCCATAGCTAATGTGTGGTGAGCGCACTGGCACCATTGTCCTGTGGCTGCTATCGCATCATCCAAGGGAATGCTGCACACTGGTGGTAGTGTGGAGAGACCCCCCGCCCCATGATTGCGAAGCGCTTTAAGCGTATGGCCATACACAATAAATATATAGAGATATATAAATACACCTTACTTACTACTACTTACTTTCTTGCATATAAAACTATAACAAACATGTAAAATAAACTTAATAGATTTACAACTTTACCATAGTTACTTGTGAATATATACGTTTACTTAAAAAAAACTGGTTCTGCTTTTTATTTTAATTTTAAAAAATTCATAATTCTACTTTATTCTATTTCATTTAATATTTTTTATTTAATTGTTTTTAATTTAATTATAATTTATTTTAAATGTATTTAATTTATTTTAATTGCATTTAATTAAAAATAAATTTATTATAATTTAAATTATTTTTTTAATTTTAATTTCATTGTATTTATTTGTAATTAAATTGCAATTTAATTGTAGTTTATTTTAGTTTTAAATTAACTGTTTGAAGTAATTTAAATTTATTTTATTTTAATTAAAAAATTCCAAGCGATCATCTAAGGATGACCGATACGATCAAGAAAACTGCTCAAACGCAATTGTCTTATTGGACCAATGTTTTTATTTAATGTTGAAAATATCACAGAATCACAGAAGTATGAAATAAATAAAGGTGAATCTGTGCAGTATCTCAGTCATAACAGTATCGGTTGCCAGTCATCAACATCTCTAAGTAAGCAGTTTATTTACAGATCATAAGTTTAAATTGCTGCAGTGTGATTTGTGTGCAAATCTGGAACAGATATAATACAAATGCAAACAAAAACTATTTCTGGCAGCCAATCAGTGTTTCTCAACCTTCAATATTTATGTTCATTTATTTTACTTTACAAGCAATAATTTGACCTACACACAAGACCCTAAGAAAAATGCTCATTTAGAAGAACATTTTAGATGTCATTTAGAGTTTTTGCATCTGAACTCATCAGATATAGAAATATAACGATTCATTTGGTTGTTATCTTACTCTGAATGGTTCATTGTAACTAAAAATCATCTTGTTTTAGGAAATGGGACAGCAAAGAATCTGGGCAAATTCCTGAAATCTCCTGAAAAGGCAACCGAGGGTGACGACATCAGACTGATTTACACAGACGGAGACAAGTGTAGAGAGAAGATGAAGGTGAAGAGCATCATCACTCTGAAGTGTAAGCCTGGAGATGTGGAAAGTCCTCCAGTCCTCAGGAGTGTGTCCAGCGACGGCTGCATCTATGAGTTTGAGTGGTTTACCGCTTCAGCCTGTGTCCTGTCCAAAACTGAAGGAGACAACTGCAAGGTGGAGGACATGCAAACAGGTACAGGACACTGCTGTAAGGTGTTTGTGTTAGGATTTATTAACTTACAGTTGAAGTCAAAATTATAAGCCCTCCTGTGATTTTTTTTTTTTTTTTTTTTTTTTAATATAATTTTTTGTTTATTTATTTTTAATTAGTAGGCAAACTGTAATTAAATTTTTTATTTAATTTGTTTTAATTAATTTAATTTTTTATTAAAATTTCATTTTAATTATCATTTATTTTATGTTTTTATTTTTAAAAATTTTAATATAATTTTTTTATTTTTTATTTTCAAATTTAATTTAATTTAATTAATTTGATTGAATTTATTTTATTTAAATTTTAATTTAATTAATCTTAATTTAATTCATTTTAATTTTTGTTTATTTTACTTGAACTTAATTTAAATAAATTTTAATTGAATTTCTTTTTTCATAATAATTTATTTTACTTTTATTGAACTTATTTTAATTTATTTTATTTTTATTTTTTTATTTATTTTTTTAATGGATTTTAATTTAATAAAAAATTATTGTTTACATTTTTATTTTATTTATTATTATTAATTATATTATTTAATTATTTATTTATTAAAAAAAATTTTTTTTTGTTTTAGTATTTATTATCATTAAGTCATGTAAATTGTTAAAAAAATTAAACAGCCTTTATTGACATGGTTATTAATAAAAAAAAAACCCAGCAATATACGCCTAACTCTATATTGGGGGTTGTTTTCGCATGTTGTAGGACTGCTTTTAAATATGCATCTTCTTTTTTTCCTTCAGGAATTTCGTTTGATTTGTCTCCGCTTCAGAAATCTAATGGAGGCTTTTATAACATGTCCAGTAAGAAGTATGACTACTTCATAAACGTATGTGGAAATGTTAAAGCCGCACAGTGTCCAGAAACAGCAGGGGCTTGTCAAGTTGACCAGACGTAAGTTCAATTTTAAATTAACTTTTATTTATGAAGCTAAAAAAATCAACAGTATTGACCACTGTGCTGTACAAAGTGTCTGCTAAAAATGATAATAAATAAGTATAAATGATCACAGTGCACTTAAAAAAAAAACAAGAGGGTCAATGTGTGAATGTGGTTGCATAATACAACTACTTTTATTTAGATGTTGTTTACCTTACAAAAATTCACTTTAACGTTAAATGATTTTCACTGTGCAGCTTCAATATAATGTCAGTTGCAGTCAGAACATATTTGTGACCCTGGAGCTCAAATCAGTCTAAGTTGCACATCTATATTTATGTGAAAAGGAAAAAATACATTTTTTTTTTTTTTTTTTTTTTTTTTTTTTTTATTGGAAGAATATGTACAATTACAGAATGTTTGCAAATATATAAAAAAAGATCCTCCACATTTTACTTATGCAAAAAATAAATAAAAAAATTTAAAAGAAATTATAACAAAAAATTTCCTTCTATAATTATTGGGTACAAGTGATTATATTACAACTACATGTCCGTATGTATATATACACACACATACACATATATACACACACACATACAATTTTCCCCCTTGGTCTACTAACACAATTTACAGAGTCTACATATGAATATGTAAACCATTATCTGAATTGACGGAGGAAAAAACTTATCATTACAGAAGGAAAAAACGAACAAAATATATATGCACTCTAACAAAATAGATCACAGTATGCAAACGAAAATAATACCCTATAATACCCCCCCACCCCCACCCCCTTCAGTTTCCGTCTGTAGTGCACACCCTTAAGAAAGATTCCTGAAAATGGGAGCTGCCATATGTTTTAACAATATCCCCATCAAACAACTGTTCCATTTCTCCCTTCCAAGTACCTTATGAAAGGTTCCCATATTTTAAAAAAAATAGGCTTTTTATTCTGTAAATGGTACCGTATTCTTTCTAAATGGAGTGTGTTTGTGAGTTCACTGAGCCATAGTTTGAAAGAGGGAGGAAGTTTATTTTTCCAGAATGTCAGAATAAGTTTTTTGGCTGTTAAAAGGCCATAAGAAATTATTTGTTGCTGAGACTTGGACAATCCAAGCTCGTGCTTTGAAACCCCAAACACAATTAAAAATTCATCTGGATCAATAGTTTGCCCTGTGATTTCAGAAAAAACTTTAAATATTTTGCACCAAAAGTCCTGTAAGCTAGAACATAAGGCATAACTATGAAGCAGCGATGCGTCAGATATTTTGCATTTGTCACATTTTGGAGAGATGCTTTGAAAAATTTTAGAAAGCTTTGTTTTTGAGTAGTGCAATCTATGTAGAATTTTGAATTGGATAAGTTGGTGTCTGGAGTTTATGGAGCAGTTATGTATTTCTTCCAGACACTCTGTCCATGTTTTATTAGGAATCTCTGATCCTAGCTCGTCTTCCCAAAGTTTTTTGATCGTGGATGTTGTGGGCGATTGGTGGGTTTGAAGGGTGTTATATATGCGGGAAATCATTTTCTCCATACCAAAATGGTCCTTCAGACAAATGTCAAGACAGGAAGGATTGATTGTTGTGGATTTCAAGTAAGAGTGTACATAGTTCCTGACTTGCAAGAACCTAAAAAAATTACTTCTGTGAAGCTTATATTTTTCTTGGATTTCTTGAAAGGTGGCGAAAGCACCATTCTGGTAAAGATCACTAACTGTGTAAATTCCCGCATCTTTCCATTGTGAAAACCCTTTATCTAGTGTAGAAGGTATAAAAGAGGGGTTACCGGCTATTGGCATTGATAAAGATAGTGGTTCCACCTTAAAATGAGATTGGATTTGTCTCCAGGTGCGAATAACACTGTTAATAACAGGGTTGTTTCTATAAATTTCTTTTTTAGATCTTATTGGTGAAAGAATGACAGCACCAAGATCGTAAGGGGTACATTCATCCTGTTCTATTCCGAGCCAATCCAGCTGTCTAGAGTTATCATGTAGTATTATTGATATAACTCTGAGATTAGCAGCCCAGTAATAACAGCGGAAGTTTGGGAAGGCCAGACCCCCCACATTTCTAGCTTTGGAAAGGTGCACTTGTTTAATTCTGTGATTTTTGTAATTCCAAATAAAGGGCAAAGTAATTTTGTCAAGTTGTATAAAAAAAGATTTAGGGATAAACACTGGTATGTTTTGAAACAAATATAGTAGTTGTGGCAGGAAAATCATCTTAATGGCATTTATTTTACCTATTAATGAGAGGGGGAGGGTCCTCCAGAACTGAATATTTGATTTTAATTTTTCTAAGAGAGGAGTAAAGTTAGCTTCTTTTAAAAAGCTAAACTTCTTTGTCACGGTTATTCCTAAATAAGTAATTCTATCAATGGCTAATTTAAAACGAAGTGGGTAGATTTGTAAGAGGTCCTTAAGACCGACTGGCATGAGTTCACTTTTATTTAAATTAATTTTATAACCTGAGAATGAGCCAAATTCTTCAATAACTTTTAGTAAAGTTGGAATACTATTTGCAGGTTTTGTTACATATAAAAGAACATCATCAGCGTACAATGAGATTTTGTTCGTTGTGTTTTTAGTGTTAAGTCCATAAATTCTCTCGTTCGTTCGAATTGTTTCCGCTAGGGGTTCAATGGCCAGGGCAAAAAGAAGCGGGGAGAGTGGGCAGCCTTGACGTGTACCCCTAAATAAATCAAAAGGATGCGACAAAGTTCTGTTTGTGAGTATTCGTGCCCTAGAGTTTTTATATAAAGTTTTTAGCCAAGAAATGAATCTTTCCCCCAGTTGAAATTTATGTAAAAGGGCAAATAGGTAAGGCCATTCTACCCGGTCAAAGGCCTTTTCGGCATCTAAGGACAAGATCACTAGGTCAGACCGGTCTGTTTGGGAGGAGTATAGTATATTAAACAATCGACGTAGATTGTTAAAAGAGTTACGGCCTGGGACAAAGCCAGTCTGGTCAGGTTTCACTAGTTTTCCTACCAATGTGTTCATTCTGATAGCTATTGTTTTGGCTAATATTTTTTGATCCACATTAATGAGGGATATTGGCCTGAAAAAATACATTTTAAAAACATTTTTCAGCAAGTAACAATTTTTCGTTTATGCCAAAATGCATTAGAAGGTCATTAGATGCAAAGATCTTGTTCCACAAAGAAAGTTTCCAACCATTTATATATCAAAATACATCAATCAAAATAGGTAGGTTTTTTTTTCATAATTCTTAAATAGTTGTATAGATATTGTATTATTCTAATGCACCATGCAACAACAAAAGCTTATTCAGATTATGAATGATAAATCTCAGTTTCAATCTTAAATTGAGATTTTAATGTGAAAATATACAAAAGTGCGCTCACCTTAATTTTTTATTCTTTATTTTTTAACCTTGAGAAGCATTGGATTTTGTAATTTAGGCCTTTGCAAAGGAAATCCAGAGAAACGGATTGAGACTAGATTTTACCCCTAAATTTTGCTGCATCAAATTTTAAAATGCGCAAATTTTGAAATCCACAGCAACTGAAAAAAATTGCGAGCTTCACAAAATTTTGCAACATTTTCTTATTTTTCTTGCAACATTTATTTTATTTATATTTATTTAAAAATTCATAGAACGTGGAATCTGTTGAAGGTACTAATATTTATTATTTTTATTATTATTATTATTATTATAGCATGTGTTCATTTTTTATTTAGTTGGGGGTTTTTAGTTTTATACTAAGAGTTTGTTATTTGTAGTGGTTAATTAGAGGGTATATGCCGAGCTAGTGTTTATTCCTACACTGATAAATTTCCGGTGAACGTTATTGTGACTTTTTTCCATTTTACAGCATCGCGGTGTAATGTAATTAAAGTAAAATCTGTTAAATAGACTTTGGCATTCATTTAGTTGGTCAAGTGTTAAACGAGACGAAAAGCTGCGTACTCACACGCGCCCGTCAGGGTTGGCAGGCTAGCGCAGAAGCTCCAATAAATATATTTTGTGGTAAAATAAATTTTCATATTTTAAAGACATGGCGGGGAAAATGTACTTTAATGCAGTGCTTCTTGTACAATCTGAAACCCACTTCCTATAGGATATCACTCAGCCAGTGGAGATCGCTGATTTTTAAAGAAAACAGACCTTAAACGTGCCATTTTGCAATGGTATACAGTTCACTGGAAACGCTTAACCCAGGTTTCTATCAAATTAAAAGTGTTTTAGCATACTTTTGCATATACCCTACTGAAACTAGGGTATATACTATTTTTATTTAATATATTTTAATGCATGTTCTCCCCGTGTTCACATGGGTTTTCTCCGGGTTTTCCGGTTTCCCTCCGGTTTCCCCCACAGTCCAAAGACATGCGCTATAGCTCGATTTAATAAACTAAACTGGCCGTAACGTATGAGTGTGTGTGTGTGTGTGTGTGTGTGTGTGTGTGTGTGTGTGTGTGAATGAATGAGTATGTATGGGGGTTTCCCAGTACTGGGTTGCAGCTGGAAGGGCATCTGCTGTGCAAAACATATGCAGGAATAGTTAGTGCTTTACACCGCTGTGGTAAACTTTGAAATGGACTAAAGGCTGGTAAAAGCGCATGCGTATGCTTCAGTGCAGCCTTCGTGTGATCACATAGCCCTCGCCGTGGCTAACGCGACACTGATGCACACTTCTCGAAAAAATGTAACTACACTTTGCAACGACGCATAGCGCAAGCTCTGTGATTGGTCGACTTGGTAGTGGTGACGAGTGTGGGTGGCACTGAGAGCAGCATGCCAAATGGAAACAGTGTTTAAAAATGTCATGTGAAGAAGCTTCAAATAGGAACTTTTTTTTTGTGTGTTTACCTTATGATTAAAGTTGTTGCACGTCCGCCAGTTCCTGCCTCTGAATGAGCGAGTTTTAGCTACTTTTACAGTAGGGTAGTGTTCAGACTTCAGAAAAAACAAAACACCGGCGAAGAAACTCGATACAGAGGAACATAAACACCTATTATTAGCTAGCATTTCAGAGGGGGGTCCAAGAGCAACACAAATAGCACAGAGAAGTATAAATGCACGACTACACACAAGGCAGGCACAGATCACTCCACAGAAGTATAAATCAGCCTTAAGGCGAATGCAGAATTGTAAAATCCTGGAGGGTCTGCCTTATTGCTGGTTTTGTAGTCAAGAGTTACACTTGATGTTTAGTGTGTAAAATATGATTTCTACAGCCAATCAGACTTGACCGTAGGTGGACTTAATCTCTCTTTGCTTTACCTCTTCAGCGGCAAATCGTCTTGGAATCTCGGCCAGTTCAACTCCAAGCTTTCTTATTATGATGGCATGATTCAGCTGACCTACAGAAACGGCTCTCAGTACAACAACAAGCAGCACACGCAGCGATCCACACACATCTCCTTCCTCTGTGACCGAGAGGCTGGTCCAGGAAAACCAGAGTTTCAGGTATCGCACCTGCTCCTTTGTTATGTTTGTGCTGAATGTAGATATTTTTAGCCCTACATAAGGTGACTCTGCATAATAAATGGCCTGCATGTGTGAAATTTTTTTTTTTGTGTTTGAAACTTTGCATTGACTTTGCATTTAAAAGACTTTCTTTCTTCTGCAGGATGAGGATGAGTACACGTATAACTTTAAGTGGTACACTTCCTACGCCTGTCCAGAGAGATTACATGAGTGTGTCGTGACAGACCCCGAAACTCTTCAACAGTATGACCTGTCCAGGTTAGTCTGCATTCAGCAAATAACTGTTATTAGCGCATGACTGAAATGTTACAAAATTTTGACATGTTTTGATTTTGGTTGCACTTAACTTGGTTTAAAGGGAATACACACAGTCCAGCCCGAAATTATTCAAACCCCTGGGAAATTCTGACTTAAAGTTACTTTTAGTTTAAATTTTAGTACTTGGCTGATGATTTCCTTATATAGCCATTAACCAAAAAAACCCAAGCACATTATTGGTTGACCCAGTGTTGCTTTTTGGCATATTTAAACAAACACTATAAAAGACTAACCTATTAAAGACATGTACTGTATTTGTCTGAATTGATGGACCAATTTATGAACAATTTACTCAAAAAAACTACTTTATTTATTGTGCATGAATGTTTGATTTAATTTAATTTTTTTTAACCTTTTTTTCTTACAGTTCATAGTATATAGTATATTTTTAAAATACATTTTACATTTTTTAATATTTGGCCATTAATAGTAGTAGTAGTAGTAATAATAATAATAACATCATTAGTTTTTTTTATTATTATGGATGATGATAATGATGATGATAATAATAATACCATTATAGTTTTATTTTTTTTTTTTATTGATGATGATAATGATGATAATTATAATATAATCATCATAATTTTTATTATTGATATTAATGATGATGATAATGATAATAGCATAATCATCATAGTTTTATTATTATTAAAGATGATAATAATAATTATTATTACTATTATAATGATGATGATGATAATAATAAGGATATCATACTTATTATTATTGATGATGATAATATTAATAATAATGATATCATACTTATTATTATTGATGATGACAATAATGGTATCATACTTTTTTATTATTATTGATGATGATGATGATCATGATCATACTAATAACAATAATATCATCATGATATCCTTGATGATAAATAATTATTGTTATTACATTATTATCAATAATAATAATAATAATAATAATAATATGATGATGATGATCATTATCATCATCATCATCCATAGTAATAAAAAACATGATGATGATGATGATGATGATAATCAGCATATTTTTTATTATTATGATCGATGATAATGATAATTGTAATGACAATAATAATAATAATAATAATAGCATATATTTTTAATGATGGTGGTGATAATGATAACAATGTCATCATCGTAATCTTATTATTATTATTATTATTGATAATGATGATGATAATAAAATATCATCAGTTTTTAATTATTGATGATGATGATGATAATCATTATTATTATTATTATTATTATTATTATTATTGATAACGATGATTATAATGATGATGACAATTATAATAATATCATCATTATAGTTTTTTATTATTATTAAGGATGATGATAATAATATTATCATCATATTTTTTATTATTGATGATGATGATGATGAGCATGAGTCCTCTTGAATCATTCAGGGTGTTTTTAGTTTTATATCTGGCATCTTTTATTAGTAGTCATTTGTCAAGTCTTCTTTTGTTAAATATATGTTTTTAAATGTGTACGGTTGCTGCGTTTTTTTTTTTTTTTATCTTATTTTTGTCATTTAATATATTGTAATGTTGTTTTTTGTTAATATTGTTTTGACATATATGTATTTTATTTGTTTTTGTTTAGTTTTTTTCCCCTTTTTTATATATATATATATATTATTTCATAATTATA